ATCTCACTTGAGAACTCAAAAGAACAAAGTTACCATAATAAACAAGTACACTGGAGAAAAACGCATGGACTGAAGAACAGAAACATTCAAAACAAGATCCTCTACGGCCAAAGTAAACTTAATGGCAAGAACAAAGCCTCTTTATTTTTTTCAGGAAGTTATTTAAAACTTCAGAAAACAAACACTGGGGGCGGGCCAGGGTAAAGAACAAAGATGACACAAGAAGAGGCAAGTTCTATGGATTGTTATTGTAAGGTTTTTTTTTTCTCTAGTATCTTCTACTTCAGAAGCTACCTTTATTTGGCATTATTTTGAAAGAGACCCACAAGATCTTTGATGCCTGGATGAAAAAGCTTGTCTGGCTTTGCTGCAACTTTTGTAAATGACATAATAATCTCAGGCAAAAGGCTGTCTGCCAGAAAAATTGTATTAAGCAGAAGCTGCTTTCCCACAGCACAGCAATTGAGACTTTTTATATTAGGAAATTCAGGTGTCAAAAGAGTTTTTGTGGGTAGAATAGAATAGGAGAATAGAATTTTATTCCAGAACAAAGCACAGATCAAATCAAGGTTGAAACCAAGAGTTTATCAGAATTAAAGTTAATGCTCCAGGCTGGAAGAGGGTCCAAAGAGGGTAGCCATTGAGCTTTTCTGCATTTGAAGAGCTAAGGAGTCATTCTGGTTTGGCTGGGCTCTTGTGTCATGGTCTTCTTGGTTCTTTAGTCAAGACACAGAAAGAAAAACAGCAGCCAGGTAAGATTCCAAGCAGATGTAGCTCTGGGGGGGGGGGGGCAGATCCATGTTCCGAAGTCATTGGAGAATAACACCTACAACTCCTGATTGTACACCCATAGGTAAATGAATGATTAAGTCTTTATTACACTTATCTATTGCACAGTCAGGATTAGTTTATAATAAGAAGTAAGCCATAAGTATTAAATTGTTCCAAATATATAAAAATAAAAACCATAAAATCATAGAAATAATAGAAGTAAAAATAAGAAGCAAAGACACTGCCTCCACCTGAAAATACTTGAGAGCCAACACACACACACACACACACACACACACACACACACACACACACTGTTGTTACTTGCAAGTTGTGTCCGACCTATCGCGACCCCATGGACAATATTCCTCCAGGCCTTCCTGTCCTCTACCATCTTCTCGAGTCCATTTAAACTCACGCCTACTGCTTCAATGACTCCATCTAGCCACCTCATTTTCTGTTGTCCCCTTCTTCTATTGCCCTCAATCTTTCCCAGCATTAGGCTCTTCTCCAGTGAGTCCTTCCTTCTCATTAGGTGACCAAAGTACTTGAGTTTCAATTTCAGGATCTGGCCTTCTAAAGAGCAGTCAGGGTTGATCTCCTCTAGGACTGACCAGTTTGATCGCCTTGCAGTCCACGGGATTCGCAGGAGTCTTCTCCATCACCATATTTCAAAGGCCTCAATTCTTTTGTGCTCAGCCTTTCTTATGGTCCAACTTTCACAGCCATACATTGCAACTGGGAAAACCATAGCTTTGACTATACATACTTTTGTTGGCAGGGTGATGTCTCTGCTCTTTAGTATACATACATACATACATACATACATATATATATACCGTATATTCTGGCGTATAAGGCGACTGGGTGTATAAGATGACCCCCAACTTTTGAGAAGATTTTCAGGGTTTAGAAAGTCATACGCCAGAAAATACAGTACAATATTGAATTTCTGTTTATAGATGAGCACAATAGGAGCTCCATTGCTGCTAGAAAGCTTTGTCCTGTTAGTGCTTATTTCTATAAAAAAAATAGGGCTGGCCACTAGGGGGCAGATTGGTTTTAAATTCAGAGAACAGCTACCCGTATATTCCTGTGTATAAGAGGACCCCCAACTTTTGAGAAGATTTTCAGGGTTTAGAAAGTCGTCTTATACACCGGAAAATACGGTACATACATACTTATATAATGTTATATGTAACAGTTCTCATTTGCCAATCATAGGCTAATATATTTGCTACTAACTATAAATATAGGCTCATGTAAAACATATTGCAATAGTGTATATAATGGCTGATGTACCAAACATGGCAGAAGGCGAAATAGGGTCAAGACCAGTATAATTGTCCCAGCCATGTCTCAAGAAAGATCATTCACCACTGTTTCCATCCTGTGTCCAGATGTGAATCCTGAATGAAAGGTATTCAGACAATCCACTTCCTTCAGGGTACTCTGTAATTGAAGCTCAACACCTGGTCAACAACTTTCCCTAAAATGAGAAGGCTGGATGACAGTTGTCTTATATAGCTAGACCCAAGAAAGAACTTTTCAAAAGGAGCTTCACCACTGTTTCCTTTAAGCCATCAAGTATGATCCTCCTCTCTTAAGGAGGTACTGACAGTTTCCTGGGTGCAACCTCTCTTACTTCCCAATCACCCCAAAGTATCCAGACAGACATATATTCAAGCCACAAGTGCACAGACTAGAAAGAATCCCAGATCACAATTCATAACAACTATTGATTCACCACTTCAGATGCCACCCATAGAGAGTCAACCTTTTTTTTCCAAAATATAAAGCACTGGGCTGGAACATCTGGTTTATATATTTCCAGAATTATTCATTCTTCAGGCTATTTCTCTTCCAATCAGTGAAGTACAGTGAGATTTCCCAAGAGAAGACATGAGTCCTAGGTCCACAAGGTTACATTTTCCTATTGAAAAGACCTTGCCTAGGGCAAGGTAGAAAAGATGACTTTGATAGAGATATTTGAGTTCCATTACCAAGGTCATGAGAGGAAAAATATATCTTAAGTCCATAAAGGGCATATAAGTTTATAAGCAGCTCAGACAAATAGATCCCTAATTCACAAGAGTATAAGAAAAGAGAGGAGTACAGCACTATCAGATTCACAAAATTCTGTTGATCATAGCCAATCTCAATAAAATCAGTTTTAGCCTTCCTGTGGAATTAATTTCTTGGTGTGGAGTTGACACTGTAGGAGCTTGACATGTCACTTTTTCTCAGGCTCAATTTATGCATCCCTATTAGGCTTATTATTAAGCACATAATTTGTTAGCAGGTAAACATTTTCCTGCTTGAGCAAGGGGTTGAATCTCCAAGGCCCTTTCCAACTCTGTTATTCTGTTAAAAGTAATATATAAGCCCTGTATATTATTGTGGTATAGCACAAGAGATACTTGGCCATTCCAGCTGATTTACTTTTTCTTTATAAGAAATCAGTGAATCATAACCCTAAAATGCTTAAATAAACTGGTAGCAGAAATGCAGAACCAAGATAAAGGTAAAATGTCTAACCAATTAACAACATTGATAATCTAAATCAGTGGTTCTCAACCTTTCTAATGCCGCGACCCCATAATACAGTTCCCCATGTTGTGGTGACCCCCAACCACTTATACATCACCAGGTGCCAGGGGCGTGGCCAAAGAAAAGGGGGAAAAATGGTGGACAGCCTTGTTTGGCGACCCCGTGAAATGGTCGTTCGACCCCAAATGGGTCCCGACCCACAGGTTGAGAACCACTGATCTAAATGATGTTGCAGGCTTCAGAATTTAATGGGACTTTTATTAAACTGGACATTCATAGGATGATACAGTTTGTAACATGCCTCATCGTTAAAATGGGCTATATTCTCCTCCCCACTCTTCACATTTCCTCTTACTTCAGTTTGCTGTCTTCAGCTAGCTACATTGGACAATAGTGCCATTGGACTTCAAAGATGATGCTGGTTGCAAATTCCAGGAACTGAAGTTCGAAACATCTGGAGAGCACAAGTAAAAGAGGGGTGCTCCTAAACAAGTATAACAACTAATCTATTCCAGCTTTCTTGGTGTTGGACTACAATTCCTGTTATTCCCAGTCACCACAGAGTATAAAATTGAGTCACATTTGGAATAGAGCTCAAATCCTTTCTTCTTGCAAAACAAATAATATTCTCTTAAAAGTGGTTCTAAGTGTTAGATTTTTGCATTAAGCTTTCGTGAACACTTGTATGAATATGTCAAAACAAACCTGCAGAACACAGCTGACAGTGATTTACTAAATTATATACATATTGCTTTGCAAGAAAGGTGGGCAGGTATACAATAAAAGCATGTCAATTCTGAAATTGACACCCATTTTACTTATTAATTTGTTTTAAATGTTAAAAAATTTAAATGTTTTAAAAAATTATCAAGGGAGCTTTTGGGAACTCTGAACATTTAAAAAAAGTTATATCAGAGAAAGTTTTGACACCTGATGCTTCAGGCAAACTTGACTCTTTTCTTCAAAAATTCTAAATGGTTTAGCAGATTAACTAGTCAGAAAATTCATTTGTTATTACAAATGTCACCAAAAGTATGATAATTAAATATAGGAATGTCCAGTGCCCAGCAGCTCCAGTAAGAAAGATGGATTGTCTAACTATGACTATAACCTTATGTTAATTAAGAGTATTTTGAAACAACAAAATCCAAAAAACTCTTGATGAAAGGTGATTTGAATCAGAATAATGAAACCTGCAGTTGACATGAATTGAAATTTGTCTAGTCTGCACACTGATCAGTTGTCAGATTGATTAACAAAATAAATCCATTGTATCCTTCTCCATTCACAATAGTTAATATCAATTGAGTGAATGTTTTGTATTTTACTTCAATCATAATAGGGTGTTTGAAGTGAGGTCATTGTTTGAAGCGAGACTGAGAAGTAGCCAACTCAGAGCATAAATAGCCTCTCTCAATTTGGTGTCTTTGCAACCTGTTGGGACAATCACCAAGATTATTAACCAGTTCGGCCCACTTCTGGAGAACATCACATTGGGAAATGCTAATCCAAAAATTTGAAAGCAAGACTGTAATGGCACTCTCTATTTATCCATCCATAGGCCAGGCCAACTCAAATATAAAGAACTTTAATTTCCCATCTCTTCTTTAAACCTGATGATAAAGTTAGAGATCCAAAACAGAGACAGATAAGCAGAAATAAAAACATTAAAGACCAACCTTCAGGACGCTGGATGCAGGTATGCTGGTTATCACTCAGGAAAAAGCCTTCACGGCAATGGCACTCATAGCTTCCCATCATGTTGACACAGGTTTGTTGGCAGCCACCATTCCCCTCTGCACACTCATCCACATCTATTTCGGGAACCAAAGAGAGAATGAAAAGGCTGAAACTTACTATTATTAAATAGTGAGTGTCTGAAACTTACTATTTTTTAAAAAGATAATAAATATCATAAAAACACAACCAAATAAAAATAAATTTTAAAAAGGAACAAAACATTCCTTTTAAAAAGCCAAGACAACAATAAAATGTCTTACAAGGCTAACAAAATCATTTTTGACTATCTAGAACTCAGAAGGGAAGGAATACAATAGTTATTTTAAAACAATTGGGATATAAATCCTGTAATAAATTATAATAAATAAACTTGATAAAGAAATGCCACAGTAAAGACCTTATCACATACAGTATACCAAGGCTTTTCAACCAGTGGTATGGGTACCACCTGTGATACATTGGCACCTGGCAGGTGGTATGCGACCATCCTAGAAAAGTGGTAGCGGGAGAGGGGAATGAGCTGAACCAGTGGCAGCACCGCACAAGCCTGAGCGAGAGATGGCTGGAGCTGCAGGGCTGTCAGAGCTCAGCAGAAGCACCAGGATCAGTGCCGCTTTCCAGCTGATTGATGCTTCTTCGGGGCTGTCAGGGCTCAGTGGAAGCACCAGGATCAGCGCCAGGCTCCAGCTGGAGCTCGGTGCTGATCCTGGCGCGTCTACTGAGACCAGAAGCACCGATCAGCTGGAATGTTGCAGCATCTCCAGGGTCTTGTGATTTACATTCAGATGCTTGGCATCTGGTTCATATTTATGATGGTCACAGTGTCCCAGGGTCATGTGAAGTGACCAAAACCTGCTGCAACCACCAGCAGATGGGGGAATAAAAACCAAACACCCCCCACCCCACCTCCACTGCCAATCCCCAACAGAACTGCTCACAACAATGAAAACCTCGAACAGGAGGAAGAGTGCCGCCGGGTGGGCAGGCAAGTGTCTTGCTCGGCTGTGGCTTGGGAGGCACTTTTTTCAGTGCCATTGTAACTTCGAACAGTCATTGAATGAACTGTTTTAAGTCGAGGACTACCTGTACTTTATCAATTTTTTCCTTTTTTTTTTTTTTGGTCATCAAGTTTTTGACACCTTGCTAGGTGACTGATGGTACTCGGATATTGCCATATCCTAAAAGTGGTACAATGGGTGAAAAGGTTGAAAAGTCCTGCAGTATACTTAATTAATTAGTGTGTTATGATAATGGAACATATAGCAGGACCTCTGATAAAATCTGCTGGTTCCAGGCAATTTCATACACAAGGTATTCTTTTGAATATCCTACCTGCAAAGTGTTTTAAAGCTTTCTACCTCAAACCCAGCTACTTGCATTAGATTGAAAAACAAATCTAAAATTAGTGCAGAAGGATCAAGTATATGCCATATTTTACATCACCCTTTTAATACAACAATACATAAAGCCAGTCTCTGATATTCCATATTACTTCTTCCACCTTCTGATAAGATTTATTTTTAATGAAATGTAGAATAAATCTGTGTAGATAGGAAATGGCTTAAGTTCTTACCAATTTTTGCTTAAAATGATAAAAAAAGTGTTATTTTGCTATTTTTAGCATTAACAAAAGAGTCTTTGTACAATTAAGCTTCCTTATAAGCATCCAAATGGCACTTTGGCATAGAGAAAGGCATTGCTGAAACACATCATGTGAAATCTCTGTTCTAATTTTATTTTATAATTGTCAAATAACAATGGGTTTCCTGTCCTAAAGAGTATTAGAACAGATATTCCATTTGATGTGTTTTAGAAGTGCTGTTTTCTTAGCATTTTTAGTGAAAATGGTTAGCATTGGATAAAGTTAAGGCTATTTGAGCTGGACTGTAAAAATCCAAATCCTGATGACTATGAGATACCAACAATGAATTTATGTTTTCTTTTCTGTTTGCTACTATTTAGTGGTTCTCCAGACTTTTGCAAACTAAAACTAGGATCCAGGGAGTAAAAGATTTTCTTTCTCAACAAAGCAAGATTGGGTGACTGTGACCTTCAAAGAGATTGTTGATTTTCTTCTTCCAACAATGCCATAAAGCATAGGAAGGAATGCTAAGAACTATGTTTCAGCAATCTCTCCAAGATTTGGAGAACACAGTATGCACATTCCAGTACTGTTATTTTGGCTAATAGTTTTAGTACCTCATCTACTATATCATAGCTGAATTCTCAAGAAATTTTTAAGCCATAGCTGGCTTAACCAAAGCTCATCAATAGGATTCAAACAAATATTAAGTCACAAACTAGCAAACTGCATGATGATTAATTGTATTATCTACCACTAAGCCAGACTAGACAAAACATCCTCTAGGTTGCACCAGTATCAGATCACTGCATTACCTAATGCAGATTCACCAAACTTAAAACAAATCTAGCCAACCAACTTCTTAAGTCTAACTACAACTGACTCTTAAATGTAACACTCAACTTCACCAATGGTTAAATGGAAGCTCACTCAATGTACTATGAGGAGACAATGTAAATGGTTAGGTTCTGTCTCCATCACTTTGGCTGATTATTCTCAGATGAGTCAGATTCAGTACAGGAAACAGAGAGTAAATAGTAATAGATAGTAATATTTAGCAGCAGATAGCAAAATTGCCAAGAACAAAATCAGTACAAATATTTTCAAATAAGCAATGAAAATACTTTGATAATTGAAAAAGATAGGATTTAAGTAAGTTTTCACACTGGCATTTTTCAGTTGTTTGCTAAGATCCAATCAGATGAACATAGTTTCTCTAAGTGCAGTTAATGTGAACAAGAACTCCTTCAGAAACAGCATAACAAAAACACAACAACATAGTACTGTTTACAATCCAGCTACCTCAAGGATTCTAGTTGGACTTGATTTTTGGTGGGGAGAGATTATATATCTCTATGCAAGAAGCTAGACATAAACAACAATTTTAAAATCTTGGTTAAAAAAACTTTCCAATTCTTTCTGGTTTTATGTCCCCAAAACTCAACAGATGTTTTGTTGTTTCGAACAATGCAGATTCCATACAGAATTCATTAATAATAATAATAATAATAATAATAATAATAATAATAATAATAAAAGCCTCACTCTCTCCTCTACTTTTTTGAGATCTGGTTCTCCAATTTATATTAATAAATGAAAGCTATAAGTAAGAGTAATTCTTAACAACAGTTGAACAATAAACTGAATGAAAAATGTAGATAATCCATAACAATCAAAAATAATTTTACAGTAAGTTTAATGTCTAATAAATAAAACTCATTTAAATTATCACTAAGGCCAGCAGATTAGAATGTTAGTGATTTCAATCTTCTCCTAAAAATTTTCTTCCTCCTACTTTGAGGGAAAGATAAGACCGTAGTTCCTGCTGCCACACTCATCTTCTGGGGCCCCTCACCTAGTGTCTACCTCCTAATCTTGGTGTGCACAAGAGACAGGACTGTAATTGCTTGTGCTGCTTTTTTGCCAACTAAAAAGCCCAAATGCACTATCTGAAATTATTTTTACAGTGCTCTCTCCTGGAAATATAGTGAAGAGGTTGGTGACCAAAGGATTCAGCCCCTTTTTCCCCTTGGGAGATCTTGCACGAGATAAAAATAAAATATTTTAATAAAAAAGGGTAGGGGCAAAGCAAAAACAAAAAAAATCCCACTGCGCTTTTATGTATTAATGTGTAGACCTTCAACATGAAAGGATATAATTAGCAAACTGCCCTAGAAAACAGGCTTATGAATTAGTTAAGAAAGAGACAAGCCACAAGATGGTGCTAGTCTGCTACAACTGAAGAATCTTCTGCCTCCCATTTTTTTTAAAAAGTCTGCAGTTTGCAAAATATTATTACAGATCACAAGAGATTCTAAAGAAAAAGAACATGAACACAACCTGAAATATCAGTTCTGAAGAGTAAAACACAATTCTATAATTTACACAGAGAGATTTAAAAAATATGAGTTTGAGCATAAAGCAGCAATAACCCGCTTCCTCCTCCTTCTCCTTAATTAGTAAAAATTCTAATGGGAGCTTGCTCATACCACTCGAAAATTGAAAACTCGTAGAGTGACTCTCATTCCTTTAGCGAGATCACTCTCTTCCTCATTAAAACACACTGGGCTCGTTAAGTAAACATGAGGTATCTCAGGGTGGGGAAGGCCACGGAGGGCCTAGTGATGGAACAGGCCCCTAAGGCCTGGAAAAGACCTCCGGAGCCTGGATCGGGCCGCTGGGGGGGCCCACAAAAATCGCTCCGCAGCCATAGATCTAGGCTCTGGAGGTCTTTTCCGGGCCTCCAGAGCCCAGATCAGCCATGGGGGGCGGGGGGGGCACATGAAATCACTCTGCGGCCATGGATCCAGTCTCCGGAGGCTTGGAAAAGACCTCCGGAGCCTGGATCGGCCACGGGGGGCTGCAAAATCGCTCCATGGCCATGGATCCGGTCCCCAGAGGTCTTTTCTAGGCCTCCGGAGCGCAGTTCAGCCACAGGGGGGACACAAAAACACTCTGCGGCCATAGATCCAGGCAGCGAGGCCTTTTCTAGGCCTCTGGAACCCCTATTCAGCTTCTGGAGACATGTCAAAGTGTCCCCTGGCTTCGGTTTGGTTCTCTGTTACAGAGAACAGAGGCCTAAAGAACCATAAGATCACACGAGATCAGTAGTGTGAGATCTCGCTCCACTGATCTTGTGTCATCTTGCGTTATTTTAGGCCTCCATTCTCTGCAAACAAACCAAAGGCCTGGAGCAGCCAAGAAAGCGAAGGTTCTCCATCTTTGCAGGGTGAGTACTGAAGGCCCGGTGCCTAGGGAGACCCGCAGTGGAGGCGGGGAGGGAGGGAATAATCCGAGTGAGTGTTGCAGAGCCACTGCGGTCGCTCGTAAGGACAAACGACTGCTGTGGTGCTACAATACTCATAATTTCGGGAGTTGTTCATAAGCACTAGGGGGCGCTCATCATGTAACTTTGAACGAGCGTTAAATGAACGCTCATAACTCGGGGATTACTTGTATACCATTTCAGACAAATGACTGTCTAGTCTCTTC